CCCCAAAACCCCAAAACCCCAAAACCCCAAAACCCCAAAACCCCGTGAAGAGTATAAATAATTGAGAAGAATTCAAATAATACAAATTTAAAAGATGGAGAAAAAGATTTTCATGGCCAGAGTTGCCGACCAATCTGAGAGATACGAGGACATGGTTGACTTCTTGAAGGATATTGTTAAAGAGTCTGGAGATGAAGACGTATCCAATGATGTCAGAAACTTGCTCTCAGTTGGTTTCAAGAACCTCATCAGCGCTCAGAGATCTGCCTGGAAGACCGTTCAAGCCATTGAGCAGAACAAGAAGTATGCTGAGTACTCCTCAAACTGTGCTGAATACAAGGAAAAGATTAGCAATGAGCTTGAGAAGAACTGCCAGAAGGTTATCGACATCGTCAATGAGCACTGCATCCCAAAGGCTAAGGAAGATGATGCTAAAGTTTTCTATTTGAAGATGATCGGAGATTACTACAGATACACCGCCGAGACTGCCACTGGAAGCAAGCTCGAAGAAGTAACTGAGAATGCTAGCAAGTACTACCAACAAGCCACTGATGCTGCTAAGGATTTGAAGCCTTACAACAGCAACAAGCTTGGATTGGCTCTCAACTTCTCCGTCTTCTGGTATGAGCTCAAGAATGATTCTAGCAAGGCTTGTGAGATTGCTGAACAAGCTCTCAATGGCGCTAGAGAGAACATCGATGAAATGGAAAATGATGAGGCCAGAGATGCCCTCTCCATCATCGAGCTCTTGAAGGAGAACCTTGACCTCTGGAAGGAAGAGGAAGGAGCAGCAGACGACCAAGTAGAAGACCTCTAAACTTCTAGTGTTTCATGTATTCCTATATTTACCCCATACATTTTCACTTAGATTAGCTGGTGATCTAGAATATCAAAATTGTTCTTTTTCTAAGGAGGGCTCTTTTCCAGACATACCCCGGATGGGCTACAACACTACTATTAGTTATTTCCTTTCGGCTCCAAACTAGGGGAAATTAGAATTAATTATTTATGAGTTCAGGTCCAAATCGGCATCTGCCATCGACCATATTTAGAATCTATCTAATAGTTTTTCATAATTGATTGGATTTAAATTTTTCATTAGGCCGGAGCCCATTCGGGGTTTTGGGGTTTTGGGGTTTTGGGGTTTTGGGGTTTTGGGG